CCTGGGCTCTTCTGTAAGTAAAAGAGAGGAATAGCTGAGCAAACCGAGTTGCGTTGAGACACAAAGCAAGAAGGAACTGAGAATGCTCAAATTCTAGGCTCAGTTTTAGAAAAATTTTATCAGGAGCCTGTGCATTCACAGATGAGGCCATCACTCATCAGGTCAAAATGGGAAGTGCACAGAGTATCTGAGCAACAAAGTTTTCTTATGTATTCACTATTAACTCTCTGCATGAAATTGGAGCATTTATGATCTTCCTGGGTACCACTTTCCTCCTAGTAAAAGGTAGAGATAACAGCACAGTGTTTACCTGCTCTCTTCAGTCTCTGTTATTTTATGAGGCGAACCAAGAGCAAGTCTAGGAGACCAAGCATCTTTCACAGAACCTGTGTAAATCTTGATTGCATCTCCCACAGCCTTTTCTTGCGGTGGCCGAGGGAACAGAGAAAATGGCAAAAGATCTGACTTTTTTGCCTCTGGAGGAAGCAGTTGTTCCCCAGGAAAGACAGAGGCTAAAGAAGCTGTTCACAGTGGAAGCTGGTGACATTTAGGCTGGGAACTGAATCACTCTGGTAGGCACTGGAACCTGATGACAGTGACAAAACTAGGTCATCAAACTCCAGGCTGTTGATGGTGAGAACAAATTCTGTCCCAGACACACTGCCACGAAATGGTTGGGGATGCCAGGAGCCCTGGTGGATGCCCCATAGATGAGGAATCTGGGAGCCTGGTTTTCCACTGGTCCAAGGCTAAGTAGTGACCAACACTCTGGCCCTACTGGTGAGGGTGGCTCTTTCCCTGGAGACAAAGACAGGAAGGCTGTAAGACTATATCATCATGATTCTTCCAGTGGTATCTGTGATAGGAAATAAAACAGAAATATCACCCATGTAATCTATTGTCTTCCAAGTAGAGTCAGGGCTTTTGAAGACAAATATGTACAAGAAAAATATTCGAAGAAGTCATAGGTCTTAATAATAAAACCAAATGAGAGCATTTGGAAAATCTTTCTTGAGAAAGATGGGGCACACCTATAACCAACGCCATTGTTTTCCTTTGTCCTCTTACTCATTGATATACTGTGTCCACAGTTCCAGATGGTGTGTGAAGATACATCAGCTCAATCCTGTCTTTGGAGCCAGGAGGTGGCTGTGAATATGAGTAAATGTGGGTCTGACTTACACGTCTATAAGTCCATGGCCGCTGGCCTGGGGAGGACATGCAGGTGGTGACCTTTCTCCCACCTTGATGAGGACACTTTGATCCCTGTCCTCCAGATGCCCTTCAACGACCAGACCATAGTCTGTTCACCTGGTCCTCATTCCTTTTTTTTTTTTCTACAGAGACCTTCCCTCTCACATTTCTGTCTAACTTGTAATTTATTTTAGATTCATTTCCCCAGATGTACGCTCTACTCTGTGGACACTGTGACAGAGGGAACTGTTTTTCAGCTAAATACCTTAGGAGTTTCCATGGGTGTTATTTGCTCTATGTCCACAGGGGTCTGCTAGACGAATGGGCTGCAAGAAGAGGTGTAAAATGATTGCTGGAAGAAAAGCGTGAGCTACAAAATGAAATGAGGAAGGGGTGACAATCATCATCACCATCATCATGATCATCATTGTCAAGCCAGAATCAGTCTGCGGTCCTGGGCACTGTTATCAGCACACACCAGACCCTTCTGGGGTCAGGGTTGCGCATGTGCCCCCTCTTGTGGTCAAGTGTGGGAGAATCCTGAGGGTTTTCCCTGTGACCTGACATTGCCATTTCTGGAGTGATGAGTAAGTTCTTTCCTGCATATTTTCATCCATGTTTTCTTGTGGTGCGTATCACAAATAATAAGAAATCAAGACCAAATAACCTAAAGCTCCACAGAAGCTCTACTAACATTTTCCAAATTTCGGATTGGCAGAGATTCTGACTTGGCCATGCCAGAGGGACTCTACTGGGGAAGAGAAGCCACCTGAGCTTCAGCAGGTGGGTGGAGCTGCCCTAATAGATTAGACACAATCTGAGCCTTAAGCCTCACACTGGATTTTCCTTGGGACATTTGATGAGGTCTGGGATGGGAAAGGTGACTGCATGGATGAGCCAACAAGACCACCGAAACCTCCCACATTCTCATGGGTTGGCCTTTCATAATGCTGCCCTGACTGTCCCCTAGCTTTGTCTGAGACATGACTCTTGGCACCCCACATTGCAGCTCCTGCTGACCTTCCAGCCCCAGCTCCACATTCCCTTCCTCCCAACTACCTGGTCTCTTCTGAAAGACCCTTTTCCCAACAGGGATCAAATGAGACCACTCATTCCGAGGCATATAATGAGGGTAGATTACACCATTGGAAACCTACCTACACCTCCTCTACTGGGTTCACGAGGAATGAGTCATATGACCTAAGGGTCATTTGGAAAGGAGCTTCACTCACCCTTCCAACCCTAAAGCACTAGAATCCTGCCACATGTGCCATTTCCCTGGGAACTTGCAGTAGCATCAGGACAGAGAATTCACCTCTAGGCAGGGCTCCCTTTGACTCTGGGATTCCTCCCAGAGAACACATCTGAGCTATTATCTGTGCTCATATCTCAGCCCCAACCCCGCCAACAGCAACATTCTAAATATGAGCCACAGAGCTGGGCCCTGTGCCAACAGCTCACCTCTATTCACTTTCTGATTTACTTCCTCTGCCCAAAGTCTCAACATTCTTCTTTGGCAGAGAGAAATACTTGGCTTTCACAGTGATATGGTTTGGATATTTGGCCCCTTCAACACATGTTGAAATTTGATCCCCAGTGTTTGAGGTGGGATTGGTTTTAGAGTTTTGGGTCATCAGGACAGCATCCTCTTGAAAGGCTTGGCCCTGCATGGGATGAGTGACTTCTCACTTGTTGGGTCATATAAGAGCTGGTTGTGTAAAACAGGCTGCCACCACCTCCTCCCTCTCTTTGTCTGTGTTTCAGCCCATGAAGTGCTTGCTGCCCCTTCAGCTTCTACCTGGATCAGAAGCTGCCAGCAATCCTGCCCAGAAGTACATGCTGGAGCCACACTCCTTATGCAGTCAGCACATCCATTAACCAAATAAATCTCTTTTATGTTTGAATTACCCGGCTTCAGGTATTTCCTTTATGGCACCATGAAATGGATTAACACACACGGGACCTGTATTTATACAAATTCAGTTTAATATAGCAGACTATGCTCTCTCATTCATCCAGTGCTTTTGGTTGCATTTTAAAATGTAGCATTGGAATTCAGAAAAACAACTTTTTTGTTCATTTTTACGTGTTTTTGCACTGAAGCTCATCAGTGGTAGCAGGTGATATCACAACACACTAGTGTCCCCTCCCGGTGGCATCACTGAGCAGCTGTGCAGCCATGTGGGCAGCAGGGAACCTGAGTGGCTGCTCCAGGGAGGACGAGGCAGCCACTGCCTGGAGGGTCTGTGGGTGTGAGAGCCCTGAGTGGGGAGGAGGAAGAGGCTCTGGGACGCTGTCCGAGAGGGCCCTGTCGCCTGCTACAGAAGAGGAACCGGTGCCCATTGATGAGGCCTCTGTGTTCCGTCCCCAAGGCTCTGCAGCCGCCTCCACCTGCGCCAGCCTGGCTTGGACTCGTCCTCTGGGCACAGCTGCTGCTCCTGCCACAGCGACAGGCTGAGCCTCCTGGGAGGTTTGTGATTGGGGCCGTCACTGTGCAGGGCCTGTCATGTCCTTCTCACAGGAGTGTGTGAGTGTCCCCAGGATCCTCATGGGTGACTGCAAGAGAGAAATCAGTCGGATTTTGTTGAGACACATATCTGTGCTTTTGATTGAATTTTGTAGATTTTTTATTCTTCGTTTTACAAACTGTTTTCTATAAACCATTTTTCTTTGTTTTCGGACTTTTTGGTTAAGAATACAATTATAATTACACTATCGCTGGTCTCCACCTGGTGATTGTGGGAGTGAAATCAGTAGTTTTTTGATTGGATGTGTCCCCACTTGTGAAGAAGGTACATGTAGAAAAATAGTCTGAAGAATTGTCATTGTCTGGATGTGTTAAAAACTGGGTGCTATAAACCATGTTCTTCGTTTCTGTTTTGTTCTTTTCATATTTTGACTGAAGAATACATGTTTAATTGCACTTACCCTGGAATGCATTTTCATAAAATGGACAATCATTTCTGATGAACAGGTGATTTGACCATATTTCACCTCTGCTATATAAATAACACACTCCCATAGCTGCAGTCTTTCCTTAGTCTGAAAATTCTTACCTTTTGGGAAAGAAAAACTCACATTATTCTGTGTTATTTCAGTGGTATATGAGGTAAGTTTTATGAAATATGTGTTCTAGGGTGATAGTTTCTTTTTAAAACGCAACTTTGGAAATGTCAAGAATGAACTTTGTCTATTAGCAAGAGGCAACTGAAGCAAATAAAAGAGTTTTAGCATTTTAGTCTTCAATCTTCCACCATGAATTTACAAAAGTCTATTTGGAGGCTTAAAAACCAGGATTTTTACTTGTCCTCAGCCAGCTGCTACTGTGGTCCAATTGTGAACAATGGTCTCACCACTATCTTTATGGAGGTGAGTAGTGAAAGGAGAAGAAGGAATTTGGGAAACTTGGAATGTACCAATTTCTGATTTTTACCAAATATTATATTCTTAAAAATACATAAAACTGGTAAACATCAGGATATATTCAACACGTAGTACTGCAAATCTATATTCTTTGGCTATTTTGGTGACTGTGTCATATTGAAAATTGTAGGGAAAGCAGGAAGATGAGGATGAGATTTCACTTGGCTCTCCCTCCAGTCATGTCTCATTACTCAGAAGGCACTCAGTTCATTTTTACTTTTCTGCTACTTAAGCCATGCCAATGCTGTTGCAGCTAACAGGGCTACTAGTAGTTTTTGCCTGACATATAGACAAGGAACGAATTAACAGGGACCTCGAAAGAAATCTGTTGCCCTGAGGTCTCCAACACCTCCTCTTCTACAGCCAGAGATTCTGCTGAGCTGTCAGCAGGCAACACATTTGGGCAGCTGGGCCACCCCAAGCATGGAGGTTTGTGTTCGGGGCTGTACCACTGTGTGATGAATCTTTGTACTTTGAGCACAGTAATACACTCCCACATCCTCAGCCTCCACCCTGCTGATTTTCAGTGTGAAATCTGTCCCTGACCCACTGCCACTAAACCTGTCTGAGACCCCATTGTCCCCGTTGGAAACCTTATAAATCAGGCGTTTTGGTGGTTGGCCTGGCTTTTGCAGGACCCAATTCAAATAGGTGTTTCCATCACTGTCTTGGATACTCTCACTGGCCCTGCAAGAGATAGAGGCCAACTCTCCAGGGGTGACAGGCAGGGACAGGGGAGTCTGGGTCATCACAACATCACCACTGGATCCTGAAATAACAAGAGAGAAGTGCAAGCTTATAAACACACATTAGAGGCATTTTCATAAGTTGCTTTTGATAATTATTTTAGTCTAAATTTTTTGTGTGCTCTATGTTTAGATTCATATTCCCCAAGTATACAGTTTTATAAAAGAATGGATATTTTCAAAGCCCAAGGGAGCCAATAGAATTCATTTATACCGTTCCCCTCTTTTTGTCTGAAAGTCTTCACGAGACCACGGGCCCTGCTCTTTCTAGAATCTTCCTCAATGTCTCAGATGTAAATGTGCCATGTCCCATCGTGGAGAACAAGACATGCACAAATAACACATGCACAGAGCAACGTGGGGCCCCACAGCTCACTCTCCCACTCTGTCCTCCTTCCTCATCTCCTTCTGTCCTTACCAGGGACCCAGAGCACCAGCAGCCCCAGGAGCTGAGCAGGGAGCCGCATTTTGAGAAGTTGGACTGAGGAGTCCTGGTCCGCCCAGGCAAGATTAGATTTGAGCTTTTTTTTTTTTTTGTAGAGACGGGGTCTCGCTCTTGCTCAGGCTGGTCTCGAACTCCTGACCTTGAGCAATCCGCCCGCCTCGGCCTCCCATAGTGCTAGGATTACAGGCGTGAGCCACCGCGCCCGGCCCTAGATTTGAGCTTTTATGGAGGGGACAGTATGCAAATGCCCTGGTCGGTGCAGTGGTGTGGAAGGAGCCAACAGGAGCGTGGGGGCGTCTCTTGTAAGCAAAGTAACAGAAAACGTTCTCTTTGGTTGGAGGGAAACTAACGGAGGAAAAAATCTATTTAGCTCCAGTAGGAGAAAGAAATATTATAATTGTTCCTTCCTTTTCCTCCACGTTTTATAATAGTTCTTCAGCATTTTCCCAGACACATTATGCTTTTCTTTTATGAGGTTGATTTTCCATAAATATTTGATGAATTATTTTTTTAACTTGCTTGTATAGTAGATACTAGGTTTGGTCTTCTCTATTTATTAATTGAGATAAAACAAATAAAGGGTAGA